CTTTTGATAAGACTTTTGAATGGCTAGTTGAACCATTGTGTCTGTCTGGGTTCTTAGGATAGCTTATACTTATGAGTGTGTGACGTGTGCAAGGAATGTGGGTTTCAGTGGGTCCCTGCTTTCGCTTCTCAGTCCTGACAAAGAAGTAATCCTTGCAGCATCTCAAATCTCTTTAATAAACTTTCTCTAATGAAAGCCTTTGTGGAGAGTGAGTTGACTGGGAAACTGACAGATAGTCAGGACTCTTTACTCCTACCCAAAACCCCACTATCAATATGGGGAACGGAGAGGGAGATGGTGGAGCAGGGGCCAGTACTGGGTCCGAACCTGAGTTGTCTGGCCCTGACCCCCCAAAGAAGAAGATAGGGAAGTCTACAGGGACGCACCCCAAGAAGCAAGTGTTCTTCCAGCCCCCCGATTGCTGGGATGATCCGGCCTGGTTGGCGGGCACTCCCGGTCTCCACGGGGCCTGAGGGCGTGCTGAACAGGAATGACCGAGGGTGTCTCGTACATCCCAGGATGATCCTGAGCTAGGTTGGATGAGAGAGGAGTGGGAGGATGAAACAGCCACCAAGAGGTTCCAGTCTAGCCTGTGCTCGGACCTCAAGGAACTGAAGGGAGGTTTCCAGTACCTGGTACAGAACCTCCCCAAGCTGGTGAAAGAGCTGATGGAAAAGGACGTCCCCGATATATCTCTTGAGAAACCTGTATACGGGTCAAGAAGTAACAGAACTGGATATGGAACAACTGTTTGGTTTAGCACTTTGCTTATTTAATTTATATGCAGAGTACATCATGTGAAATGCTGGCCTCAGATATGCAGACGATACCACTCTAATGGCAGAAAGTGAAGAGGACCCCAAGAGCCTCTTGCTGAGGGTCAAAGAGGAGAGCACAAATGTTGGCTTGAAATTCAACATCAACAAAAATTAAGATCATGGCATCTGGCCCCATCACTCCTTGGCAAATAGAAGGGGAAGTCATGGAAGCAGTGACAGAATTCATGTTCCTGGGATCCAAGATCACTGCAGACATGAAATTAAAAGACACCTGATCCTTGGGAGGAAAGTGATGGCAAACCTAGACAGCATAATACAAAGTAGAGACATCACCCTGCCAACAAAAGTCTGTATGGTCAAAGCAATGGTGTTCCCAGTTGTAATGTACGGCTGCAAGAGTTGGACTATAAGGAAGGCCAAGCACCGAAGAATAGATTCTTTTGAATTATGGTGCTGGAGAAGACTCTTGAAAGTCCCTTGGACTGTCAGGAGATCAAATCAGTCAATCCTAAAAGAAATCAACCCTGACTGTTCCCTGGAAGGCCAGATACTGAAGCTTAAATACTTTGGTCACTAAATGAGAAGGGACCACTCACTGGAGAAGACCCTGATGCTGGGAAAGATTGAAAGTCAAAGAAGAAGGGTACGGTAAAGGATGAGATGGTTAGACAGTGTTATTGATGCAACAAATATGAAATTAAGCAAACTCCGGAGGACAATGGAAGAGGGCCTGTCCATGGTGTTGCGAAGAGTCAGACTCAACTGTGCAACTGAACAACACATACATACACACACATTCTAGAAGCTGATGGGGGAATGAGTTATAGGAACCCATTTTATGTACAATAGACAGATGTTTATGAGTTCTAATAAATTATTTTGCTGCTTAGTCTCTGATTTACAAGATTTGTTTTCAGATATTCTGTACTAAAGTTTGCTAGGAGACATTGGAACATTGATTACCTTTCATTTGCAGGTCAATAGGGACTGTGTTCTTCTTTCACAGAAATATGAAATTCCAGTAAAGCTTTCATTTATGAAGAGATCATTTAAAAATGTTCCTTACTGAGCAGCATGCAACAGTACTCCAACATGTTCCCTTTTAGTAGCTAATGGAGAGGGGAACATATTCAGAAGTATGTCATTTGGCATGTTGCTTGGTGATCTTTTACATAAGGCTCAATTTGAGCAATCTACCTACTTTATTAGGGTTCAGTCCCAGAAAGAATATGAAATGGGATATCTCTCCTGTATAATAATCCTGTTTTGGGGTGACAAGATTCCATGCTTTCCCTCAGTCATTGGCCCGTCGGCCGCCATTCAAGAGTACTCGCATGCCATTGGCTGGGTACTGGGTTTGCTCCTCTTCCCTGCCCACTCCCCCTTCAGCCCCTGTGCCCTGTCAGAATTACTGGCAAACAGAATCACAGCTCTTGCAACTACAAATGGAAAAACAAGCTTTGTTCCGAGATTTCAGGGGCACCCTGAAACTAAGGGGGAGAATCTGACACAAATTCTGAGTGATGCCTTGGCCCCGATTGCAGATTTAAAAGTGGATTATATTCAAAATTAGATGGATGTGGTCTATAGATCATATTCAGAATATATAAAGAAGAAAAATCTGCCACAGGAGATAGTGGTCAGATTCTCAAAAAGGCATGTGAGGGATCAAATCCTGAATGCAACATCAGGAATGTCCCTAAAAATTGAGGGCAAGGAAATAAGGGTTTTGAAAGATATTCCATTTGAAATTAGGAAGAAGAGAAATAAATTTAAAGACTTGGCAAGGTTTTTGCAAACAAACAACATCCCCTACAGATGGTTGGTACCCAAGGGCATCCTTTTTAAGATAAACAACAAGAAATGAAGAATTGACACTGCTATTAAAGCTTGGGAGTTTCTGAAGCAGCAACTTGGTTCTACAGGAGAGGACGACAAAGAGGAAGACGACAGTGACAAAGGAAGCAACAATGACTCTGATGCTACAACTTCTGAAGAAGATTCCGATTCGCAACGTGGGGCAGCCGCTCCCAAACAAGACTATCAATTGAGTAATAGAAGAGGAAAAAATGAGATGCTGAATGACTCTGAAGTTAGCCTTAAGTGGATTATTATTAGCGGGGGTTTTGTGGTATTTCTTGAACAGTTATTTTAACTGGTTTTGATAACATAAGCATACATATATTGATCACACTCAATGTAACTAATAATCTCTCTAACAATTTAGCAAATTTTTATATGCTTTGTAATAGCCACCACCTCTTGGGTTTTTAGAGGGTTTTCTTTCCTTTCACCTGTAGTTTGTAGATACCCTCCCTTATTTCTTTGTAGTTTATAGAAAATGCAATAAAAAATATCCCTTCGGGGGTTGAAAACAAAAACCAAAACCAAGAGCAACCGAACAATCTCATGGCATACACTAAACACAGCTAAAACAAATTTCATCCAAGATGCACTATCTATGCTGGCCACAAGACAAATAGAGTTAAATGCACTTTAAGGTATTGATTTCAATAGGCTTAAAAGGTAAAGGTTCCCTTGCTCGAAAGCCAGTCGAATCCAACTCTAGGGTTGCAGTGCTCATCTCTGTTTCAAAGCCGAAGAGCCAACGCTGTCCGAAGACATTTCCGTGGTCATCTGGCTGGCATGACTAAACACCAAGGCACACGGAACACTGTTACCTTCCCACCGAAGTGGTACCTATTTATCTACTTGCAATTTCTTGCTTTCGAACTGCTAGGTTGGCAGGAGTCAATGGGCTTAAGTATGCTTAAATGTGTGCTGGATCATCTTCACTACTGTTACCCTTTTACGGATGTAATACTTAATTTTTCTTTACTGCCCCACTTTTTCAGTTTTAACCTCCAGAGCCTTTTCCCTTTATTATTCAAACCAAAGCTCCTCAATTTGTAAACAGCTCAGATATCTCCAGGTTGTGAATCTTGGCCAGCATGGTGTAGTCAGAATAGGGAGACAGAAGTTCAAATCCCCACTGTACTATGAAACTCAAATGTCTGACTCTGGGCTTTTCTCAGCCTAACTTTTCTCACAAGATTGTTATGCGAATAAAATGGAATAAGGAAGAAACAAGTATGCCTTGCCAAGCTCCCTGGAGGAATGGCGGAATAAAAATGTGCCACATTATCTCACACAGACTTCCTTTCAGAAAGATCATGACTACTACTCTGTAAGACCTGCAGCCCAGTCATTTTTTAAAAAGCCAAATTAGCTGGTAAGTCTGGGATGTGTTGCTTTACCCAGCAGCATAAAGAACCACTTACCTGAACCGAGTTATTTGTGCTGCTTTTCCTTCCTTCTCTCTACATCCTCTGTTAATGACACAGTAGCCTGGACAATATATGCTGGTTTGTAGGATGCTGAGGAATCGTACTTCAAAGGATTATTCTAGATCTCAACAGTTTCTGGTCCCTTCCATAAATACATGTTACAAATAATTGACTAGATCTGCTCTAATCATTTACACTGCAGTCCTAAACAGTCAATGGGCTTACAAGGTTGTAACTGCTTTAAAGCTCACTGTTATTGTATGAAATAACACAGGGCGCTAAGCTACCCTGTCATATACCCACTTTAGAATGTGATAGTAAATAATAAATCTGGCACTTCTACCAACACATTGACAATAAAAAGACTATGAAAACAAGAAAAAAAGCTGATTTAAACAACCAAGAGCCAGGTATTCTGGCTCTTTCTTGCTCCCCTCTAAAGATAGCATTCTGAGCATTTCAATTATCAGAAGTTTTCCTAAGCATTCAAGAGCTGGTAAAAATTCTGATGGGAGCCTAAGACTCTTATAATGGAGAATGACTCATCAGGTCACAAGGCAAAGATTTCAAGGATAAATTGCCTAACAGAGTATAGTAACAAGAGTCTAGCTGGGCATCTGTAAGGGCTTGTTTAAATCTAGGATAACCTGCCACGCAGAAACCATACAGCTTGAGATACATGTATAATTCAAAACTGGAGTAAAGTCTATGAGTGAATTCCTGATGCACATAAAACATAGACTATCAAATGCACCAATTTTCAACTATTATAGATGTAAGAAAAAGACATATTCTATAGTGTCTTGAGTTACAGAAACACAATGAAAAGTTGCACAAACAAAATGGGCTTAATGCTGGAACATTCTTCTAACAAGGTACACATACTGCTAGTAGAAAGATTTATATACCTGCTTTGCTGCAGCAGCTCCCTGACCCTTTTGTTGGGGGTTTTTCCTGGGTCTTCTACCAAGCATTTTGACTCACGACCACCAAATGCTTTGACGAGTCCACAAAAATTACCTATGCCCAAATACAATAAACAGCAATTATGTATAGCCATTTCCTGTTAAAACATGCAAATCATTCTTATTGGAAACTAGGTCTGAAAAACTTCAGTCTACCACCTCCTGGGCTGCTATAAACCTAATTCAAGTAAACACGCAACAAAGCTTGTCCCCTTAGATACGCTTGAACATCAGGCAATGAACTGGACATTGTTTCCTGAATTACCTGAAATGGCAATCTCACAGAAGCTTTTAAAAATTGGTGTGCTTCTTTATTTGATTACAGAAAGGCCACAACCAGCCATTTCAGTACTGACTTCACAACTATTAATTAATTAAAATTATTCAAAAGAGAGATCCTGGGGCTCATAATTGGATAGAGGCTACACCATCAGAATGGAAATGTTGCTGGCCCAGTCCCAGGGTAGAAGAGGGGAGAGACATTCATATAGCACATTCTTTGACTGAATAAAAACACAGATTAAGATCTAGCATTTTCATCATTAAAAATTTTTTGGGACTGCTCCCCTCCATCATCTGACTCACTTGAGATGTGCCTTACTGCAAACTCTGTAGGGGGAAACAGACCCTCTAGACCTGCTGAAGGGTGCTCTTTGTTATTACTTTCCATATCCCATAGCTGATGCCTTGGTGATCAACACATTCTGAGGCTCTTCGGGCTCAAATTAAGCCTTACACCTGCAAATGAGCCAAAAATGAGCATTACTGTCATTTTTCTGCACTGTTATTTCCTTAGGACAAACAGCTGGGCTTAGTATCGGAAACCACCATCCTCTGTATTAAAGTACCATTAACTTCTAGGGGCCCCTGAATCACGTTCATACACGGTAACTTGCATGTGTGACGAGATGCCACCACACAACAAACGCAGCTTTCATGGCAACTGATATCAACTGGAACCCAAGACTTTGTAGAAGCAGTTCTCACGTTCAGGTACGAGGTGACCGAGGACCGTGCAACACGCGAATCAGTGCAGTCCCCAGTCCATAAGCAGCCAGTCGGCAACCACCCACCGCCTCCAAGGAGTCCACTCTGCCGGGGAAGGCTAAGAGCCACGAAATCAGATTACGCTCTGGGCTCAGTTAACAACAAACCGTCTGCCAGGACAGAGGCAGGAGCAGGAAGAGAAGGAGAAGGAACGGAAAGGGGTTCAGGCTAAACATCAGCAGCTGTCGCCCCCTGCTCAGGTGATAGCCACAGGAGACCAGGGCTGAGGGACGCTAGCCCATCCGACGACCCCGTCAAGAACGGGCGGCGCCCGAAACCACAAACTCACCTCCCGCAGCAGCCGACAAGCCCCGGCGCAGCACACAGGAAGCGCGGCGGCGCGCTCTTTCCACACCCACTCCGCCTCAGAAAAGGCCTGCACCAAGAGGCCCAGCAACGCACATGCGCAGACTGCGAGAAACAGGAGAATGGATAGGAGGCGGAGCTACCAGGCGAGGCGGGCGGGTAAAGAGATGGGCAGGGCGAACAGGCCGTGGGAGCATACCTGTCGCCAAAGGGCGGGCTCGTGGCAGTAGCCGGCTAGTCTGCCTTGCGATTTCGGAAGAAGAGCCACACGTTAGTTTTAGAATTGTATTTGTGTAAAGGATTAGGTGGAACGGGGGGAAAACACCAACCCGCCAGAGCAAGAACGGAAGAGAGAACAAACGCCTTCTCAAGTCACCGCAAAGATGACACTTTGCTGATTCAGCGCTGACTGGCTGTTTACTTCTGTAGAGCAGTTTATGGCGTCATGGTACTGCTTTGAACAAAGGACCTCAGACAGGTACAATGCCATAGACTCCACCCTCCAAACCAGCCATTTCTTCCTGGGTAACAATTGTTGCCAATCTCCAGGTGAAGGCTATAGATCACTGAAAATTACAACTGCTCTTCAGGTAGCAGAGATCAGTTCCTCTGGAGAAAATGGTGGACTCTGTATCATTATACCTTGCTGAGGTCACCACAGCACATTGACACTGGGTGCCCAAGTCCTTGGCATTCTCCCAGAGCCTCTTTCTAGAGCTCGTTTTTATTTCCACAATGGGACTTATTCCTTGTGATTATATAATAACAAATATTATATTAAGCCAATCAAACATCATGCCACTATGTCCAGAATATTGTCTCTTGAACATGGAATTCTGACCATCATTTTTCATATCTAGTAGCCTCTCTCTTATGTGGTAAGTTTCTAGTTAGCATCCAACGAAATAATATACAGGGGGAATCTAATTACATAGCTATTCCCCATTTGTGGTTACAGCTACGTCAACTATTGCTTCCATGGTCATAAGAGTGGCTTCCTTTGACTTTGTGTGTGCCTATAATTGACAGTGAAGGGATGACTAACTTACATGGTTGATACTCATGCCATAATGACAACTAATATGGACTGAAGCCATTCAGAGAAGACACTGTGTTATGAGAATCAGATCAACAGCCACCTCATAGAAGAACAACTGCCTGCACTCTGGCCACATCCATTCTTTAGCAGAAGAATGTCTAAAATGAGTCAGAGCTAGTAGCCATCTTCCACATTCATTGCAATTGCAAAATCCTTAATTATATGTTGGATTTTTGTCAGGCTGTCCTAAAATTAATTACATAACTGCCTTTTTATTTGTAAGCTTCCTGGCACCATTGGCCATGACAATAATTCCAAGAAGGATGAAACTCCAACACTTCTCAGTTTCCAGATTACATAGTGTTTAAAATAAACGAAGTAAGAAAATCCATGTATGCATCTGTGTTTTCACTAACAGCATATTTTTCCAAAGTTTACAGGTAGGATTATGCAAATTAAGTAGTTAGTGCAGTTCTACCATGCTTATGACACAATTCTTGACTTGCCATTTTCTTTTCCCACTTACTTCAAATCTCTTGCTTTAAACAATCATGATCCTCTTGTTATCTTTTTGTTGCAGCTCTTCAGTGTTTTTCCTTCCTCTGTTATACTATATAAAGACAGATTATGCTGTTTTCGTATTGTGATAATCGGTTAGTCATTGGAGTAGGACTACTGCCCAGAAACAAGTGATCACTGAGGAATTCTCTGGCTAGCTTGAGACTGAATCTGATGACTGTGTCTCCAAAGCTTATAATGATAAGACAAATGACTAAAAAGTCTGTTACATAGCTTAGCATTAAAAAAACCCAAAAAACCAAAAACCATGCATTATTCCCATTTCTAGCTTCATGCTGAATGGGTTTTTGTCCTGAGTGTGCATGATGCCTCTTAATGACAGAGTAATAATGAAACATTGTAAATAGTATTTCTAGCTGGGAAAAGCCATTTCTGTAATGAATCATTTATTTCAATTCAGTCATGGGAATCAATGCAGATTTGTTGGGAGGGCTGCAAAGAGTCTGGAGGGCAACCCAGAATAACTCAATTACAGTACACAAAAAGCCTTATTTAGGAAGAAAAATTAGAGGGTTCCTTCTTTTTTTATTCTGTCCAGCTTTTACCATGCACACACACATGCACACACACACACAGGTTCCTTCTTTTTTTATTCTGTGCAGCTTTTACCATGCACGCACACATGCGCACGCACACATTCCTTTGGATGTCAAATAATTAAAGGGAGCATAAGAGTCAAAGAGGAGAAGAGCGACTGGCCTCTTCCTCTCCTTCATACTTTAATGAAGCCTCTGGTTACATGAGACTCATGAGATGGCCTATCTTGCTCCAGTTGTCCTTGGCATCCAGAGGCAGCTTGATGGGTAGAGAAGGACTACAGAGTTATTTAGAATTACTTGAGACTTGGAAACATTTGGGTGGAGGAACCTGTAGTTCTCAAATGCTGGACTCTAGAAGAGAATTCACAAATTACTCTTACAAGAAGGAGTTACCTAAAAGGAAGACTAAGTCTATTGAGGTCAACGGGCTTGAACAGTCTAACTCTACTTCGGATTTCCCTGTACATTTTTTCCACATATCAGTGGATGCCAATGACTCTCCCCCCTCCCTTCTAGTCTGAGATCCTCAAGCTCTGCCTAGTGCAGTAGCTGGAGGACATCGCTTACCAGGAGGGGTCCCCCAACACTTCAGGATTTTTTTTTAATCAGGTGAATTGCGGACATCTGCAATGGGAATGGAAGATTTTTCCAGACTGACCATGGCCATTCAATCTTTAGTTCTCTATAAAGTCAATGTACATCATTCATCTGTACAGGAGACTAGAAGAAGAAATTTTTTAAAAGCTTGTTGAGGGACTCTTGCCCACTGATAAAGATTTCAGTCTGCAAAGAATCCTCATATTCTTTGCCTGCTACCAGTAGAGAAGCAAATGGCAGAGGCAGGGCCAGCATCAGCACCAGGAATGTGAATTCTGTCACTGCTTCCATGACTTCCCCTTCTATTTGCCAAGGAGTGATGGGGCCAGATGCCATGATCTTAGTTTTCTTGATGTTGAGTTTCAAGCCGACTTTTGTACTCTCCTCTTTCACCTTCAGCAAGAGGCTCTCGGGGTCCTCTTCACTTTCTGCCATTAGAGTGGTATCGTCTGCATATCTGAGGTTGTTGATCTTTTCCCCGGCAATCTTAATTCCGGTTTGTAATTCATCCAGGCCGGCATTTCGCATGATAAGAACATAAGAACATAAGAGACGCCAATGTTGGATCAGGCCAAAGGCCCATCCAGTCCAACACTCTGTATCACACAGTGGCCAGAAATACCAGTGCCATCAGGAGGTCCACCAGTGGGGCCAGGACATTAGAAGCCCTCCTACTGTTGACCCCCCCAAGCACCAAGATGACAGAGCATCACTTGCCCCAGAGTCCCTATCTATACCTTGTGGCTAATAGCCACTGATGGACCTCTGCTCCATATGCTTATCTAATTCCCTTTTGAAGCTGTCCATGCTTGTAGCCGCCACCACTTCCTGTGGCAGTGAATTCCATGTGTTAATCACTCTTTTGGTGAAGAAGTACTTCCTTTTATCTGTTCTAACACGACCGCTCAGGAATATCATGAAGTGCCCATGAGTTCTTGTATTGTGAGAAAGGAAGAAAAGTACCTCTTTCTCTACCTGCTCTTTCCCATGCATAATCTTATAAACCTCAATCATGTCACCCCTCAGTCGTCGTTTCTCCAAGCTAAAGAGCCCTAAGCGCCTTAACCTTTCCTCATAGGGAAAGTGTTCCAACCCTTTTATCATTCGAGTTGCCCTTTTCTGCACTTTTTCCAAAGCTATAATATTTTTTTAAAGGTGTGGCAACTCCAAATGAGTTCACACCATTGATTTATATAGGGGCATTATGATATTGGCTGATCTGTTTTCAATACCCTTCCTAATAATCCCCAGCATAGCATTGGCCTTCTGTATTGCAGTCACACACTTTATCCAGGCATACTCTCAATAAGTTAGGAGTACAGTCCCATCGAATAGTGTGTGTGGGGGTCTTACTCCCGAGTAAACACGCCGTAGTTTCGGACTGCCATTTGTGTTCTGCACCGGAGCCGATTGTTGTTGTTGTTTTTTTTTGGGGGGGGGTGTCTGAACGCACACGCGTGTCCTCCCACTGCGCGGAAATTAATGATGTACTCTGCATATAAATTAAATAAGCAAGGTGACAATATACATCCTTGTCGTACTCCTTTTCTGATGCTAAACCAATCAGTTGTTCCATATCCGGTTCTAACTGTCACTTCTTGACCCTTATACAGGTTTCTCAAGAGACATGTGAGGTGGTCTGGTACTCCCGTCTCTTTAAGGACTTGCCATAGTTTGTTGTGATCCACACAATCAAAGGTTATAGCATAGTCAATGAAGCAGAAGTAGATGTTTTTCTGGTACTCCCTTGCTTTCTCCATAATCCAGCAAATGTTGGCAATTCAATCTCTCCTTCCTCTACCTCTTCGAAACCCAGCTTGTACTTCTGGCAGTTCTCTATCAACGTACTGCTGAAGCCTAGCTTGTAGGATCTTTAGCATGACTGTGCTAGTGTGTGAAATGAGTGCAATTGTGTGATAGTTTGAACATTCCTTGGCATTTCCCCTTCTTTGGGATTGGAATGTAAACTGACCTTTTCCAGTCCTGTGGCCACTGTTGTGTTTTCCCAGTTTGCTGGCATATTGAGTGCAGCACTTTAACAGCATCATCTTTTAAGACTTTGAATAGCTCAGCTGCGATACCATCACCTCCACTCGCTTTGTTATTAGTAATGCTTTCTAAAGCCCATTTGACTTTGCATTCCAGGAAGTCTGGCTCAGGTTGTCAAGGACATTGTCTAGAATACTTCGAACTACACCCAGAAAAACAGATGGTGTTAATGTTTCTTGATGCAGATTTCCTAATCTCTTCTGCTTCTGTTAGGTCCGTACCCATTTTTGTCCTTTATCATGGCCAAAGGAGCAAAGAAATA